CTTCACAATACATTTTCTTCTTCAAAAAAAAAGCTACTCTAGATAAATTTTGAAGGTCATCATAATGCTTTGTTTAATACCAAACGTGTTCGCAAGACACTTGTGAAAGCTGAAGAAGGTTAACATGCACTATACTTGTACAATGTTAAGAGGCTTGTCACCTGGCTGAAAAATGTCAGAATCTAATTCTATTTTTATTTTCCTATGCATATTTACAAAAAATGTATGTGCATAAATATGTATAATTGTACAAGCATATAAGTAGCGTAGTTGGATTAGAATGTATTATACATATATATAACAAGAAAAAATGTTAACTTCGGTTGCACCGAAGCTCTAATACCCTCCAAATATAAAAAAGTTTCCATACAAGGGCTTCATTCTGATCGGAAGATTTGTATGACAGCTATGTGCTATAGTGCTCCGATCTAAAAAATTTGTTCGGAGATTCCAGCGTTGCTTTGTACAATAAGCCGAATTTCATGAAGATATCTCGTGAAATATAAAAGGTTTCCGTAAAAGAACTTGATCTTGATCGTTGTTTGTATTGCAGCTGTATGCTATAGTAGCCCGATATCGGCGGTTCCGACAGATGAACAGTTTCTTTGAGAGAAAAGAACATATATAAATCTTCAGCTCGTTATCTCAAAACTAAAGGACTAATTCGCGTATGTACAGACAGATGTACATGGCGAAATTGGCTCAGCTCGTCTCCGACGTTTCCTTCTGGGTGTTGCAAACTTAATATACCCTATTTAGGGTATAAAAAGTGTTCAACTATACATATATTCTTTGTACAACCTTCAAATGTTCCAGGTTCGCATTGCGCTATGTTATCAACACCTTATAAATGCAAGTATATATAACGTATGTATGTGCATATGTATGTGTACGTATTTATATTTCCTTAAAAATTTTTATAGAAGTGTGCAAACATTACTTATTTATTAAATACACATTCAAAATATATTCTTAAAATGTATTTACTCTTGGCAATTAAGAAACGTTAAAACTATTTCAAATACAACAACAATTTGCAAAGGGTGAATAGAGGAGATATGTTTGAAATACAAAACACAAGCAATAAACTTAACAATAAAACTATTTCCAAAACTAAATTGCAGTAAAAGTATTGTCAACGTTAATTTACACAGGACAATTTGGTTCCAAATTATAAAGCAAAAAATACTGAGAGAATTAAGCAACTAAACATTTATTAGATATTTTTAATGCGAAACTTATTTATTTCAGACTTTTCGTTATTAAGTAAGAAAATAAAATTAACTATATACATACATACATGTTTATATAATTATGCTAACAAACAAATGTTGTTTGTATTCCCTTTTTGACTGTGTTGTTGTGGACATATATGGATAAAATTTATACCGTTGAAAAGGAGAAGACGTGCAGAAGTGCACAACGTTTTTCGCATGTGCGTCAACGGGAACACAGGTAAAAAAAATGCGTTGGTGCAAATTTGGCGACTGCAACAACTACAAGCACGGTGCCGCGTTTCCATTGGTTGATGTTATTTCTCCCTACACTTAACACAATCGTATACAGAAGTACATTTCGTCTCTGTTGCAAATATTAGGTCAAGTAAAAAGTTCGTTTCCATTGGTTGATGTTATTTCTCCCTACACTTAACACAATCGTATACAGAAGTACATTTCGTCTCTGTTGCAAATATTAGGTCAAGTAAAAAGTTCGTTCGGTTTTTATCTAAGAGAAGAGATGGCGTTATTGTCCATAGTACTAGTGTTACGTGTCGCATCATGTCATACTACACGGCGCTGAATACGTCAAAGATGGGCACCAGCAAAGAGAAAATTCGCTGTATTTTACAATTTTTCTTCGATCAAGGCGAAAAAGCATCGGGGGAAACTTTGCGTGAATAATACGTTTAAAGTATGCCACCTTGTGACCAAAAATTGTCTAAATCGAACCAAAACTGTTCAAGCCCCTAAGTACTAAATATGTGGACCCCAGTGCCTATAGTTGACCTTCTACCGAAAATATCAGCCAATCCACAAAGAAATCTCAAACGAGTATACCATTTGACTTTGCGAGAGTATAAAATGTTCGGTTACATCCGAACATTCTTTACTTGTTTCAATTCAATTTTTGTTATTGTTATACTCTTACAACATGTTGCTACAGTTTATAATAGTTTTGTTCACCTAAGGGTTGTTTGTATCATCTAAAACTAATCAAGATAGATTAAGGGTTATATATGTATATATAAATGATCAGGATAAAAAGACGAGTTGAAATTAGGGTGACTGTCTGTCTGTGCTGTTGCAATATGCCACCTTCTGATCAAAAATTGTTCAAATAGGACCAAAACTACCTTCAGGTACCGAATATGAGGACCCCAGATACGATTGTAAACTATTTTTCGAAAATATCGCTCAATCTGTGAGATATGTCTTAGAAATTCGGAGCGAATCCTTTTCTGATAATAGTATGCCTGTATGCTAATAATGGCTTGACTCGGATCAATAATTCCCTTAGTCCTCATATAATTAATGGACAAATTTTTAAACTGTCGGCTGTGTTATATATTTACAAAATTGCTTGGAAATATGTTCCCGAGTGTACCTGGGCAATGTCAAAAGTTAGTGAGATCAGCACAGATCTTAACTGCCCCAATGTACCGTATATAACGATTTCCGACTTTCCACCTCTCTTTTAACCGTTCAGGTTGGTCAAAATGCGTGATCTTTTAATAAATTTAAGTGGACTTGTTTCCTTAGAAAGTATAAAGCTATATTAATGATTTAGCGCTGAATATAAATAGTAGAGTGGAGCGAAACAAATTTTTTTTTTTTGCTTAGCCTGAGGGTAAAATCTGTAGATTATAAAAATTTTGGATAAAAAATTGGTTTTTAACACCTAGAGGCGGCGCACTCAGTTTTAAAGTAAATTTTTGAGTTAAAATTAAGCAAAAATAAACTACATTTTTTTCGCTCCACCCTAATGAATAGAGTCCGTCTAGATCTTGACCTAACCCTCATATCCCTAATATAATGAATTCCGATCCTCTGGTTGACATTTTTCACATCAACACAATACTTGTGTAATAATTTTCACTGATGGGAAGTAAAATGTTGTTACAAAACTAAATGAGTCTATACAGACAGACGGTCATGGCTGAATCGACTCACTCGTCATACTGATTCTTTATATACACAAACTTCGTGGCAAACTTAATACCATGTTCAGGGTATAATAATAAGTTATAATGCACCTGGAAATAAATAATTTCCTTATATTTGCTTACATTATTGGATTGAATATATATAATATATAAATCCCATCCTTCAAATTATCCATATGTATGTATTTATTTACATATTGTTTTATACATATGTACTATAATGTCAAATCGATAGTACATTAAAGATTTATACAGGCTAAAAGACTAAAGTAGCTAGTAGATAAATTTAACAGTATTTAAAAAAATTATAGATCATATTCATGGTCATACGCCTTAGTGAATATGATAAATTATAAGGTTATATTTGAATTTGTTTGAAGCTTTTCAATTAACGAACACGGTTCACTGTACAACAATATTAAATATTTTATTTGCCTTTACCTATTCAGATTGCAGGCCAAGGCTTAACAATAGCTGCAGTCACACATTAACATTAATATTTCTTTATATATAAGTATTTATATGTATGTCAACAGAGCATATGCACAGAAGTATGCATACTAGTATATATTCAAAACGTACCTGTTTAATAAGTAATAAATTCAAAACATTGACCAACTATGAAAAAAATTGCTCTATGTTTGGTTTGGAGCGCTAACCAATAACGGTTTGTGGCACTGCACAAGAGAAGAGAAAGTGGGTAAAATCAATAACAGAAGTAACTGCCAAACGAGTTTTGTTTAAAGCGCAACGGAACTGGATGTCGTAATCATTACATATCAGAATATTAATGAGCGATTCAATTGAAATCGAAAGTGATCCTAAATTCCTGCTGTAAAGGTGTCTCTATAAACATTTATATTTTTATATATTTCATAGTTATTGCAAACATAACAATAATGTACCATAAATCGGGTATATTAACTGTCTACTTTTTGAGCTTTCCTATATGTAGTTGATTCCCTGTACTTTTCAACGCATTTGTATTTATACCTTTTGGTGGACCCGTTCAGCCACCTTTAATGAATTAGGCATTAGTTAACTGAACTTTGTTTTTAGTTGCTGACCGCTCCATTTCACCATTTTAACATACAACAACAATTTTAACATACACATTGCCTAATTTCATGATGATATTACTTTGACTTTTCACTTCGAAAGCATGCGCTATGCCAACAATATTAAGCAAAATTTATCGCACTCACAAGAGACACCTTTGCTAAGCAGTAATTTTACAAATCCACCTCCCCTTTGCAATCTTCAACGAAATACCTAATATGTACGTCATACAATAAGTCCCCCGGCAAACAATGCAAACTAATTTTTTCATCCAACTTTATGCAATTATTTTTAACCACCTTAGTAGGTATTTATTTTCTTCCAAAAAATATGCACTTACTGCTTGAATTTCAGTTAAGAAAAAATCTCCAGTTTAAATTTATTTCTGCTATTTTATTTTACAGTTATAATCCACTGAAATAGTGTAAACTTTATTGAAAACAGAAAACACGTATGCGTTGAATAAACGCAAGCGAATACGAATATCGAATTAAAATGATTTTATTCGTTTGCCAACCTGTCCCATACAACAGGGTTACCAACTGTATTGCTACTAAGTAAATTATCAATCAACTAATTTGTAGAGCTGTTAATGTTGCATTAACACATTTTCGTTTACCAACGGAAACAAGGTGGGAATATGTCAAATATATTAAAAACAGAAATAACACATTTGATATTATTTTCCAATTCTTTTCCCAAAATCGAGTTAGCAATTATTTAGTGGCAGTTCTTTTTAGGGCTACTAATAGTTTGGCAACACTGCATGGTAATAAATTCCACAACAACATTCATCTTGTTTACTTTCTTACAACGATTTCTTATCTTTTTCTCCAATTTTTCTTATCAGGTCGAATCTGACAGAATCATTATAGAAGAAATAAAGAAGTGAAAGAAATATGTCTATATATAAAGATCTTCCAGAGGTATTTTTAAACGTTACTGTATTCATTTAACACAAATCTTATTGTCTTTTTATAGGAGCATCCTAGAAAACTAATACCAGAACTATGCCGGCAATTTTACCATCTTGGGTAAGGATTATACTTGCATAGTAACAAAAAAAATTATTAATTTATAATTACGTTTAATTAATAGTTGGGTAACTGGCACTGGTGGAGGCATGAGCATTAAATATAAGTAAGTAAATAACAAATGAAATAAGTTTTCAGTTTTAAAAAAATTGTGCATAGCAACGAAATTTATATAGCCCCATCGGGAGTACAAAAGGAACGTATGCAACCAGATGATTTATTCGTACAGGATGAGGAAGGAAAAGACATTATGTTACCACCGGATTACAAAAAGTAATAGTTTGTAAAATGTAAAAAGTTATGTATGTAACATTTGTTCTTTGCTTTTTGATTAGGCTAACGAAAAGTCAGTGTACGCCCTTATTTATGCTCGCTTATCGTCATAGAAGAGCGGAAGCTGTGATACACACACATTCGCAGCATGCAGTAATGGCAACTTTATTATGGCCTGGAGAAGTCTTCCGTTGCACACATTTGGAGATGATTAAAGTACACATTAAAATTATATTATATCTGATTTAGGAGTTATGTTTCTAAGCACATGTTTTGTATTCTACAGGGCGTTTACGATGAGGACTTAAACCGTTATCTACGATACGATGAAGAACTAGTCGTGCCAATTATAGAGAACACTCCATTTGAACGAGATTTAGCAGATAGCATGTATGCTGCTATGCTTAAGTATCCCGGTTGTAGTGCGGTGCTAGTTCGACGTCATGGCGTGTATGTTTGGGGTAAAAGCTGGGAAAAAGCTAAAACAATGTAAGAGTATTTGATTAAACATTAGTATTTGTGTTGTTGATTGTCTAATTTATGATGATTTTAGGTCTGAGTGCTATGATTACCTCTTCTCTATTTGCGTGGAGATGAAGAAGAGTGGGTTAAATCCTGAAATTTTTTAACGAATAACATAGTAATTATAAGAAAAAATTGTGCATTTTATTATTCCTAAAAGTGAATAAGCAAAGAACCTTTAATAAAGATCTTAAGTCATGCCTTTTAAAGGCTAATGATAAAGATGTCCTTAAATCTGCATTCAACATTCTTATGGACATAAATCAAAATTAAAACTTCTGTTTTATTGAATGTTAAAATAATTCAACACCGTATATCTTTCAGCAGAGAATGGTAATAAATATTTAAATTTTTATTTTTTATTACTAAATTTCTTTGCTTTCAGGGTATTCAAACATATAGCAGAGAACGTAAATTATGATATACGTTCTTTGGATATAGATTCCACAAATGTGAAGGGCACCACTCTTTCTGATTTTATGTCTTCATATGACATTTGCGTATGTGTCAAAAAATTTACGAACCGCCCCTGTGGATTATCTTTGACTTGTTTCCCCTACTTTATTTGCTGTCATTCTCGTTTATGCTTTTGCCAACGAAATACTAATTCGAAAATACGCTTACCCCTAGTTGTTTTTAATCAAAAACGCAAAAAAACAAATAGGAATTAAATATGATTTTTGTATCTGCAAAAATTTTTTGTTCATCGAATAAATACGGTGTCAGTGATTTACAAAGTGCGATCTTGTGAAATATATCAGGAAAATTGTTTCATAGAGTTGGTTATTTGCTACGCTCCACTTGTGAAAAACGCGAGTCTTCCGAAATTATTGTTGGGGCATATGAATACAAAATGAAATATTTTATACCTAATTACGTCAACAAAAAAAGCAAAAATACAAATACATACCTACAAATATAAATATAAATATATATAAATGTGGACAAAATATAATTGAAAAGAAATATAAAACTAACGGTGCCAAAAAAACATCCATACAGTAAAAAAAAAGTTATTGAGTTAAATGTGTACATGTACAACAACAAAAATAAAAAACAGTTTAATATTTTGCGTAGCGCAGTACAGTCTTGTACGGTATTTGTTAGTTCTATTTGACATCAAACATTGTAAAATGGTCTCTGAATGTAGCAGACACTCCCCAGATTGCTAAAATATATTCTTGTTTAAATTAAATTTTTAAGTTTACAAAAATAATTCTTAGCAGCTGAAATTTTTGTTGAAATAAAAAATTAAGCCTGACAATTACCGCAGGCAAGGTAGAATTACAAGTGACGGTGGATGAAGCAAAGAAAAAGTGAGGAATTAAAATGGCAAAAGAGTCGGGTTTAAGAGTTAAAGTGGATATTACTGAACCGGATTTGGTTGATTTACTGTCGGTTTTCGCGAAAAAAGCATTTGATGCAACTACAACTGAGCCTGGATCATTAGTGAGTGTACTTTTATTCGCGATAGTGTAACATTGATTTATCGAATTGTAGATTATAATACTATCCACTTAGAAAAAATGTTGGTTAAATTAAAATATTTGTACCCATAGTTATATGAATGATAAATATATGTAATTTACATATTGTACTTATATATGTAAAATCTTTTTTGTGCGATTATTAGATAAGATGTGTTTATCTACGGTATGGCGGCAATCGTTAAGAAATATTTAAGAACAGCGTGGCACGCTTTTAGGCGTAAAAGCCACATACTTGCATAAGTACAACGAATACGTCATACAAAAGTCACGTTTTTACGTTATTGCACACGATTTCATCGTTTCATGCTCGGCTACCGGCATATTACACATCGTTTACGTTCGTGTTGGCGCCGCTATTTCGCAAACGTCATAGATGTCGCCTTAACAACCCACTTTTGCAAATCACATATGTACATATATATCCATTTGGAATTACATACATACATGTGAGGCTACATTTACATGTATGCATGTGTGGTTAGATGCATAAAAATTGATGAGCATGTACTATGCAGTTAAAGTGGGTTCTAGGAAATCAGACATCAATATTTAAAAAATGTATACTAATAATTTAAACCAGTAAAGGTACATTAAGGGGTTACATGGGTTTCGTCGAGCAAAAAACGTCCTATGTTCAAAATTTTTTTTTCATATAAAAAATGAAATATTTTATTCAAACTTTTTATTATACCGAAGATTCATATTTGATAAAGATTTTGTGAAAATTTCAAAGGAAAATATTCAAAACTCGGTCATTACGACTTCCTCTCCGGCAGTCCCTCGGAAAAATGGTGCTTTCGCGTTGACAACAGAATTTCTGATAGGATCATCAAAAGTAAAAAGAAAAAATACGTGTTTGAACTGAGACCATTAACTAGAAATTAACTAGAAGAAAAAATAAATAAAGTGAAATTTGTATTTTTGGCAGACGTTTTTACAAAAATATGCAAATTTTGGTAAACACAGTTTTAAGAAAAACGCGTTAAAGTTTTAAGTGACTAGTTGACCTCGGGCGCGCAACTTTTCAAAGCTGTATCTTCAAAACTATTACTGGTATCAAGTTGAGAATTTGGGATAATATTCTAGAGATGTTATGGAAATTATTAAGACAATACAATATTTTTTGAAGCCGTGAAACCCATGTAACCCCTTAATTCCTTAAAAGTATACAATAACCCCATTTTCATTAAAAACAGAGCAATGCAAAGCTACTACATATTATATTTTAACTAAATTGGGCGCAAGGTCTACCCGAGTGCATATATCTTTTAGATTATAGATTAATTTTAATAGTATTCAATACAATAGTTTTTTTTTTTATTGGTAGATTAATATTTATAGTATTTGCTACAATATTAATTTTTGTATTTGATATGTTTTTAGTCTCACTAGTACAGTATATTTTGTTTGTAAATATACCACTTTTAGTTCAATTTGCATTCTTCGCCAATTTTTTTTAGATCCTCAACCGTGTGAGCTTTTAAAAATATTGTTATAAACTAATACCTTACTGACTAGTTCGATTTCCAATATTTTCAACAATTTTCAGATCTAGTACTAGTACCTCTGGGGTTGTGTAGTGCCGGTTATTAACATGCACTTGTGCATGCAGATGCAAACATGTTCTTATATACATATGTACAATTGCGTTCAAAGTAATAGTAGCGCGCACACTGTAGAAAATTAATAAAGAAAATGTAGGTTTGTTATTTGCTAACTGTTTACTTTGCTTTTTATTTTAGCAAAGTAATTTATTTACAAGTTATTCATAAGAGACTTAAGAAATTAATTAATTTTAATATTACTTAAACTTCATTTCGAAAGGATTTGCATATATAGGCGGTCAAAATAATAAAAGTTATAATTCAGCTCAGTTAAAAGTTTCTGGTAATAATTTTAATCTTAAAGAATTTCATAGCAAAATTAACCTAAGTATATGAGAAATATTTAGTGCATAGTAGCGTGCCCTTTGTTGGCTATAACTGCGGCACATCGCCGATGAATTGAATTAATGAGTTTTTCACATAGTTCATTTGATAGAGAGTGTTCAGGCCACTCCATGACCTTAACCATATTTTTTTGAAAGCACTGCTTGCTGAGCCAACTTGCTTGTGTGAGCCAACTTTGGGTCATTGTCTTGTTGAAAGAAGCAAAATAGTGACATTTCTTCGCGGCCATAGGGTAACATTACTTCCTGCACAATTTTAACATACACAGTACGATCCACGGATTCCTTAATCCTTTAAATCGGTCTCGACTAAATAAAATGATAAACATGCCCAAATCATAATACTGGATCCCCCATGTTTAACTGGTTTGGTGGTGTATTTTGGATTGTACCATAAAATATCTCTCCATTTCAGTAGTGGCTAATCGAAACGGTCATTGGCAAACTTCACCCGTTGAGCCACATGTGTTTTTGATAACAATAGCACTTTTCTTGGGCTATAAGCTGCCTAATCACAATCTCGATAACGTCTACGCATGGATATGAAATAGATGGATGGGCGAAAGTTATCCCTTTTGAAATAATTTTTTTTTACAACCTTTCTAAAAATGTTTTATACAAATAAATATTTTTTATTTGTGTTTTGACAGTTTAATCCATGCACTACTATTATTTTGGGTGCCTTAATAGCTCACACTTATGAAAATAAATGAAATTGCAATAGCAAATGCTAGCTATACAGTTATAGTACTACTCTTTTTAGTGCACTGTATTGACATAACAGTATTTTAAGGAGAACGTCAAACAAATAAGGCAACATAAGAAATTATAAATATTAAACTACTTATATGCCATAGTAGCACTACTATTATTTTGACCGCAGCTGTGTGTATACACATATTTACGTATGTATGCGTGAAACACAAGTTAAAATGCATTGTAGATAAGCGAATTAGAGCTGGCGGTACAACAATTATAAATTTTGTGTTATTTTATTCATTTTATACTGAAAAATAACAGATGTAAATTTTCACGTTATGGCGCCTATTAACTGTTTCATCATTTGCTGTCGTCATGCAAATGTCAGTAATAGCAAAAAAATCAAATTCACATATCTATATACAAGCGTAAATATATATAAAAGTTACATATATGTATGTATGTACGTATGTACTTACATATGTGTGTATGAATGTATGTGCGGAAATATGAAATTGCATATTTATATAGGCAACAACTCACGCGGTGAAATGCCACAGCAACTTTCCAGCGAATGGGCAGAAGGTTATCAGCGACGCTTATTGTGTTCAGCAGGCATTAAATTTGAATACTTAAATGCATATGTTGCTAATTAAAATTAATTACATTAACTGTTGTGTATTTTGTACATACATGTATAGTATGTATATGCAAATAATTAATGCATAATTCAAAATGAATGTGGTAATTTTGTTTGAGGTCGTTATACATTTTGTAAGTTTTTTTTTTTAAGCATTTGGAATTATAAAAAATTATGTTAACCAAATTGCTGGCATGTCTACCTTTCTAAACTCAATAAATTTTATAACTTTTTTTTTTTGTCGAGTTGAAGTAATAATATTACCTTAACCAGTTGAAGTACATAGACAAATGAGAAAAAAATGTGTATGTGCATGCATACTTAACTGCATACCATCTAAAATTTCATCCTGACTGAAAAAAAAAAAAAATATTTTTAAAAATCTTTATTATCGTATTCAAAAGAGGCTGCTTAGAAAAATACTAGCGAGCCAACGCCTAATCCAATTCCCATAGACTTTTTTTAATCCTCGGCTATGGCACATCACCAGTAATTATGCGTTTGTTAAATGTAGGGTCCACAGTTACATTGTTAAGCATCCTTTTTGCGACTTCTACTTAACGTAATTTTTGTAAAAGATTCAATTCTTTTGGTATGGGTGATGGCCTCACGACCTTCACTGATATACTGATGTTCGTGATAAAGTTGACTCCCTAAACCACTTCTGCAACGTTTTCAAGGATTCCGTTGCCGTGATTCCAATCGAAAAAACATAATTTCAAGCAAATTCATTGTTAAATTATTTTCGATATTGAAAATCGCCAGACAAACTCTTTGCGTCGTAAACAAACAGTTGCCAAACACACACTAATTGACGTATGAAGATCAAAATTCATACGAACATAAAAAGGGTAACATTTTAAATAGAAAATAAAATTTATTGAAATTAGTTGACGCGCGCAGTTTACATAGTCCAGTCCGGGTCAAATTTGATCAAATGTAATTTTAATTTTTATTATATTTTCGGAATTTTCGCATATTTTTGCTACGAAATTAATAAATGTACATGTGTACCTATATATAATATATGCATATGTTATGTATGTATTATATGCTAATAGAAATATTAAGTGTTATCTGATAACAGTATTTTTTTTAAATTTAGATAAAAGCTTAAAGTATAAAATTCAAGTAATATTATAGATGTTATTTCACTTTTTAATACCTCTTTTATTGAAAAATACATTTTTTAAAAAAATTATTCCAGAAATGCATGTAAATAAAAAATTAACTTTTGAAAATGTTTTATAATATCACAAAATATACCTGCGCTATATTGGCTTTTTATATTAAAAAAAATGCAATATGCGTAAACTTCCAACAATAACAATAAAATTGGCTAATCTTGATTTATCGCACCTATGCACGTGCATATATTTTTATCGCTACCACTTTCACTATTCAAGGGCAGCTGTTTCACAATCAAATAAAGAAATTTATACACAAATATTTAAATGCATATATTACACTTAGTCGAAAAAGTAAAGGTAAAACTAAATTTTTCGTTCTTTAAACACTAATTAAGTATTAATTTAATGCGTATGTAAATTCTAGAAATTAAAAATACGAAGAGTGTTTAAAGGAAAAGTTGAATTTTTTTTTTTTGGGGGCTGTGTACATTCGATTATCGATATTTTGTTTATCATGTGCTTGCTTTTGACAATAGAAAAGG